TCCTACCCGCTGATCCGCGCAGGCCTGGAGTTGCCCAACCCCTTGTTTTTTGCTTTCTCTTTCATCCTCTCTTTCACATCATCCTTTTTTCCTTTGTTTCCTTTCTCATTTCACTTGCCCTGGGGCCATCCAGTTCACAGATGGGAGGTACTGGATTTACTCTCCCCGCCAGCGCAGACTCCGAACCACCTCGCTTTCCTCTGGGATTGTAAGTGACCGTGCTAGCACGTAGGGGAGCAGAGCTGCAGCTTTGAAACACTGGGGCCAGCACTCCATTGCCCTTGGATGCTGTGGCTCTGTATTGTGTGGCCATTAGAAACCAACCCAGCAGAAACCGGGAACGCATATCGAAATCACAGAAATGGATCTTCCTGTAGGGTCTTGCAGGAACTTCTTGCAGCATGCTCTGCCTTGCTTTTCTGCAGGCTGGTGACACAGCTCCTGCCGTGGGGTGGGCTGCAGTATCACCCAGCCCTTGGACAAACTTGCAAGCACTAGACCTGGCCAGAGAGGCACCCAAGCCTTTGTAGGTGGTGTTAGGCTCGGCTCCCTTGGCCCAGGAAGCCAGACGGGGTTCCAAAGAGAACATTAAGATATTTTGAAGCTGCTAATAATCCAGTTACAAATACAACCTTTTAGGCTTGTGACTGGTTGTCTTTCTGGTGGCTGGGATGGTGAGCAGCTCATAAAGGCAGATGAGTCAGGAGATGCTGCTGGGTTAGGGATGGTTTCTGCTCTCCAGCCCTTCTCAGCATCAGCAGTGTGCCCTCTCCTCACTGCAGGTGTTCTGTGAGCAGTGAGGGTTTTCCTTTCCTTTTTGAAAGATGCAGGGAGACAGCTGAGCATTTAGGGGCTGAATCCAGAGCTCAGACTGCTCTGGGTTTTAGTATTTCCTTTCTCAGGCTTTGGGAGAGCTGATGTCCTCAGAGGGTAATGGCAGTGCTGTCAGAGCCTTGTATTGCATGAGCATGTGTATAGCGTGGTCCTTACAGAGCCTGCCTTTTTGGTACCAGGCAGGGTGCGTGGGGAAGCAGGGGCAGTAACATGCTCCTGGCCTTGGCTGATGGCATGAGGCAAGTGCTGCACCTATGTGGGCAAACAGGCAATCCTTCCCAGCAGCTCCTCCTGCCCCCTTGGCTGGGTTTGGCTGCCCCAGCACTGGCAGGGTTAATACCAAGCACCGGATGCTTCTTTATCTCCCCGCTGGGTTTCCAGCTGCCTGCATACATCTGAGATCCTAAAAGGCTCTGAAGGAGGCTAGCTGGAGCATGTGGTTCAGGCAGGAGGGATGAAAAACAGGATGTGGGGCAGTGTTTATGCCGTGTTGAGCTTTCCTGCACCTCTAGCAGAGCCCTGTAAGAAGCTCCAGGCAAGAGGCTCTCTTCCTTCCTCCCAGTTAGCGGTCTCTGCTAATGTAGCTGCAATTACTGATGGGGTTCAGCATGCGGAGCCCAGTGCTTCAAAGCTCCTCTGGCTTCTTGTAGTTTCTTGTACATCGTAGACTGTGACACTCAGTTCCCAGGCTGGGAACACCCCCAGGCTTCTTACAAGTACCCCGTTCCCTTTCTCTTCCTTTGCAAACCCCAGCCTGAGCCAAAGGAGACAGTTTCCTCTCTGGGAGCACCTCTGGAGCCAAAAGAGCCCATTTGCAGTGGAAGTGGGTCCCCCCTGAGAACACTGGGAGCAGACACCAGCCCTTGAGTCTGCCTGGGCTTCTCTGTGCTGTGTCGGCAGCAGAAGCGTGTTTTGTCACACTGGTGCCCAGTGCTGTGATAACCAGTTTCCCCAACGCACATCCCCTTCCCCCTCATTCATTCCAAGATACAGTTGTGTTTTGCCTCCTTTGTCGTACTTGTTCCCATCACTGTCTCCAAGACTCTCAGCGATAATTGTTTCCTTTCTGTGGCCACCATCCACCATGGTCTAACCCACCCATCTGCTGCCTCGCTTGGCCTGCAGGGAAGGGGGAAGGCACAGCAAACCAGAGCGAGTTTCACTGTGACAGCCCTCCTGGACACCAGAGATGCCATCTTGTAGCGTGCACAGGGCTCAGGAAACGGGAGGTTGGGAGCTGGGAATGGGTAGCAGGAACCGAGAGCTCTGTCTCTGCCCTTGGGTAAGTCACTTCCCATGTCTCTCGGTTTCTCTGGAGCCAGGGTGATGGCAGGGAGCTGAGGTTTCTCTGGCATCTCAAAAGCTCTAAAAATCTGTCCCTGCAAGAGGAGAGGTTGTGCCATCCCCACTGCAGCTGGAGCAGGGTCCAATGTCAGCTGCTGGTGGCCTGGCCCATGTCCCAGCTGGTAGGGAGCAGGTATGTACTGAGGATGAGGAAGGCTCCTCTGCTGAGAGCTGGCACTCAGCTCAGTTCTCTCCCTCCAGGTGGACAGCTGTTCTTACTGTATGGTTTCCTACTCTTTTTATTTTCTCCTTTTATTTTTTTCCTCTTCTCTCCTTTGCTCCCTGCTCTGCTGCTGCTCTCCTTGCATTCTCCCCGCCGTCTCTGGCCACTCTGGCAGCCGACAGACGAGAGGAGTTGGGTTTACTCCCCGCTTCACTATAGCGCTCAACTCCACTCTGTCTCCGATGAGGAGAGCGATACAGTAAGTGTACAAGAAACGTGTGCTGGGTGCCTGGTGGGTCGAGGTTGGAGCTTGCGCTCCCTTTGCAAGGTCAGCTTGCAGCGAGAGCTGCTGTGGCCTCTGCGCAGCATGGGGCTCTTGCATGGCCGCAGCAGAGCCCTGCCGCATCGCGGATCAGCTCTGGCACCAGGCGAGACCTCCTGCGCTGACAGAGACCTGGGCTGCTCAGGAAGGGTTGTGGCTTGTTCCGAATCACTTGGTGCAGCGAAAGCTTTGCGGAGCTCAAGTTCTCCAGTCATGTTGTTGTTACTGGAGGATGCAAAATAAACAGCCTTCTCTCTTCACGCTCATTTTGACTCTGGGGAGTTGGCTGGGCTCGGACCTAACTGAAGGCAGGGTGGATGCTTGGGTGTTGACGCTCTTTTTCTCTGCCTCTTGCAGTAATCTCTATGCAGACACAGAAGCCCCAGAGAGCAGCGATTCCCTCTGCAGGTTGATGTGTTCCCTTTTCGTTGATGCAGCCGTTCCAGTGGGATGGGGAAGAGCTTGCTGACACCAGTACTGCTGCACTGCAGGATCCCGGGCACTGCATTTCAGAACGGAGCAAAACTATAACCGTGTATTTCTACTTATCCCAGACGTGGGCAGCAAAGGAAGCCACCCACTCACCCGCAGCTCCCAACGGAGACATCCAGCTGGGTGTAGAGAATCCTGGGTAGTAACACAGTGTTTTCCAGACGTGCACTACCGTAGCTACCTATCCATGTGTGATACTGTGAACCTTTTTAATTTTTTAATCATGTATTTATTTCTTTTATCTTTGCACAGAGACAGCACCAATGTGCTTTTTTAAACGTTTAGTTTACTGCACTTTTTTTTTTTGTTGTTGTTGTCATATATTTGTGCATCAGAAAGGAGTGTGACACCTCACTGGAGAATTGGTAGGAGCACGTTGCTGGGGAGAGCAGGGACCAGAGTGGCTTCATTTGAGGTAGCAGCGTGGTCTAACCAGCTGGTGGAGTCAGGAGGCTTAAGGCTGTCCAGACTCTGCCACGGTTTTGCCAAGTGACCTAAGGCAAGTCACTTAACCACTCTGTGCCTCAGTTTCCCCTGTGCTAATGGGTGTACAGTACCCACTTCCGTTAAAGCACTTAAACCCTGGGATGAAAGGTGCTATGTAAATGCAATGTATTAAAGGCCATTGGATAGAGTTGCTCCCATGTTACAGCAGTCCAAAGTAGCCATGCCAATTGACTCGGATTCACAAATCGCCAGTGACTTCATCTGTAACACTGTGCGGGGGAAGCAAACGATTCCTGGCGACAGCGATGTGCTCACCTCAGCTCTCCTCCGGACGTCGCAATGGGTTCTGCCTTCACCACATGCTGCACTGCTGTGTCACCTCGTCCCTCCGTGCTTGGAGTCCACGCTTCGGCTACCAGCTGCCGCACTGCCGCCTGCTCCAGACACACAGGCATGGACAGAGGAGAACTGTGCACCTCCAGGGACCAGCTGTGCTGGAATGCGAGTTCCCCAGTCTGCCTGGCCCCAAGTGCGGCTTGTCTGGACACTGGGTCTTACTGGAGCCACTTAGCACCTCGCATGCTCATGGGTGTATCCGACAGCCCGGTACTTGGGGGGTCATGAATGTTGGGTTCACACGTATCCTCCATACTTCAGGGCAGTCAGGTGTGTGCACGTCCGCACACGCTGGAGGCAGAATCAGCAGCCTGGCTGGCACTTGATGGCGCCAGGCAGTGTTGTGTTCATGGACTCTGTTGGACAAAAAGCTGGGTGACTGGGATGTTGCCTGTGGTAACATCTGCTGTTGGAAATTGCTGCTTCAGATGTCTGAGATAGTTTGCTTTTTGATGACTTTAGGTGAGAGGATTGGGTGTCACTGGGTGGTGTTCAGACGAGGCTCATCTATCTCAGCAGGACACACTCGATAGCATTGTCTGGAACTCTCGCAATCCCATCCTCATCTCCCAGAGAGAAAAAGGAAATCCTTTAGACCAGAGGGAGCCAGGTCTTATTCATGTGCTTTATGAGCCTCACTTGAGAAAGAGGGTCACAATTTCTTTATTCTCGCTACAGTCTTCGGTCTGTCCTTGGGATTCCTTGTAGAGGCGTGGGGAAGTGGGACCCTTCTCTGGGGCTCAGCCCCCCCAGTCTGTCTGCACAGCAGCACTCAGGATGGGCTAATTCAGGTCCCAGAAGGTAACTGGGCTGGTGGGAAGCTCTTCCCCTCGCAATGTGCTGATGTTGAGGATGGTCATGAATTGACATTTTCTTGCCTAGAAATACGGGACCCAGGCTTCAACCCCTTGCCCGCAGGTGCTGAAGGCTGTAGGGTGTGCTGCTCTCCAGAGTACAGGCTGGGGATCTTGCAAGCTGCTGCAATTAGATGTATTCATGTATTTACCAAATAATCTTATCAAAAGTCTTTCAGGAACCTCTTCCCTTTCAGTTGTTACTTGACAGCTTGTTCACCCAGCTAGTAGCATCGCTCCATGACAGCCTCCGTGACAGTAGGCTGGGGGGGGACGGCTCCCAGCTCAGCCTGTCTGCTTGTGCCGGTCCCGCCTGGCTCTGCAGGCTGTGTGGGCAGTGCTGGGGGGGGCTCCGGAGTTTGGTGGAGAGGAGACAGGAGGAGTGCAGTACTTACAGGCTAATCTGCCTCTGGGCTGAAAGCTAGAGGCCTCAAAATGCTAAAACTTCAGCCTTTTTTTTCTTCCAGAAGCGTGATACCGTGTATAGAGAGGCTAGAGAGAGCCACATCCCTTCTTCATCTTCAGACGTTGCTCTTGGGTGCTGTGCTGGAGGAACATAGCTGTGGGGAGGCACTCAGGCGGTGGGGCTCGGGCTGTGTGACCCCAGGCCCAGCTGCCCTGCTACCACCTTGTTTGTGGGCCGGTGGATTTTGCCTCATTGGAACTTTCCAGCCACCTGAAATCAAGCATCTTCTTTAAGATGGTTTAAGCATCACTGATGGAGACTTTATTCTTTCCCCTCATTTCGGGGGTCCCTAAAGCTGCTTAGCCGCTGTGTAGGGAGCATCTGAGCCCCAGCTTCATGGAGCCTCTCAATGAAAGAACTTCGCAAGCTGCAGCTGCGCTTGGTCCCAAGAAGCGTGGGGAAACCCAGACCTTCTGCAGCATGTTCGTTCCGAGCATCTTCTTTCCTCAAGCATTCAGGTTTTTTGAGACAATCCTTGGGCAGGTCTGTAATGCTGAACTCTGCGGAGCGAGCAGGTCTGGACGCAGAGGGTTGGTCCATGCAAAGGGCTTAGACCAACTTTGTCAACATGAGAGGACAGGAGGAACCTTCCTGTAGGGAGATGCTGACCTGAAATGGAAACTGCCCCTTCCGAGGCTCGCACACGCTCCCTCCTGTGTGTCACCTACTGTCCGGTTAGCTCAGTGCTGGGGAACTGTTCAGCCTCTGCTTCTCGTGGAGGCTAAAAGGACCTTGGAGTTTCAAGCTTGTTCTTAACCCCCCTCTCTGCGCTGTGCTGCAGCCTGAGAGCATCTGGGAGCTCTGGAGCCTTTCCCAGGCGCTGCCAGAGCTGCCTTTGCGGGACACGCGGAGTCAGAGGAGGGCAGGACTAGGTCTTGACCACAGGAAAGAGCATTGTCCCTTTTTTGGGGGAAGAGAGCCAGCCCCTGTCCTTGGTCTGAACGTCCCTCCAGCTGTACTTCAGTTCATCTGGGACACAAGTCGCCTGTATTTTGTCACTAGTGACCCAGCAGCTTGCTGGCAGGTGCTGTCCCTGCTGTAACCCCCTGCTCTCTCCATCGTTTAAAGGAGGCACCGGGTTTCTTTTACTCCTCCAAGTCTTGAGCAGAGCAGCTCTGCCAGACAGCCCATTCCCGCGCAGCTGATGGCCACCCCTCTCCTCCATCCTCCTCATCCCCTCTGGGCCCCTGGGCTCTGCGGGACGTGCCCTGGACATGGCCTGGTGCTGAGGCTGCGGGGGAGGTTTTGGCTCCGGCTCTTGTCAAACTGCAGGCGGCTGCTGCCTGCCAGGTCTGGATGTGGCAAGAGAAAATGAGCACCTCTGTGCTCGCTGCGCACAGGCGTGGAGCAGAGGCTCGTACAGAGCCCGAACGCTCACGAGGGATCCAGCTTTTGGCTGCTCTTGCCTCTGATATGCCGAAACCAACTTTGGGAGGTTTTTTAGCGAAGGCAGAGTGCCCGTCGGTCTCGGCACAGGTGTGTGTGTGGGCTCCCTCAGCCCGGAGCCTCGCTGGGGTCCCAGGGTGCAGCCCAGGCAGGGCTCGGGC